TAATTGAACTGAAAGTTACCTTCTTGGCCAAGAAGTTTATTGGGTTAGCATGAGATAGAGATTACATAAGCACATGGCAAAAAAATTTCTTATGAAGGCAATTAAACATACCAAATCTGATTGAACTGAAAGTTACCTTCTTGGCCAAGAAGTTTATTGGGTTAGCATGAGATAGAGATTACATAAGCACATGGCAAAAAAATTGCTTATGAAGGCAATTAAACATACCAAATCTGATTGAACTGAGAGTTATCTTCTTGGGCAAGAAGTAGATTGCATAAGCATGAGATTGAGATTACATAAGCACATGCCAAAAAAAATTGCTTATGAAGGCAATTAACTATACCATTTGTTTGACTCATTGCCTATGTGAACTTTTTTTTAAAAAAAAAAATATTTGGTAGCCTTTAATTGAGCATTCTGAGGATTACATGGTGTTCTGTAGATTACAGTTCAATCCTTTGTATTTTTCAAAGATTTGGGTTTTCTTTTAAGTCTTTCACTTAATATATTTGCTACATTGGGAGGCTTTCTATTTAATATACAAATTATTGGGAATGAAGCCATGTCTATGCATATATTTTGTTAAGGTTAATATTGACAAGTATTCAATGTTATACCTCAGAGTCATTCCGAATCGCAACTTTCACCCTGCAGCATATAGGCTTTATATGGAGCTCCTCAAGAGACATGCTTTTTCATTAACATCTCAGATCAGTGAGCCTAGTTATCCAAAGTAAGGTTCAGTCTCATTTTGTCTGAACAGACTTAGTTTTCTGATTGCATCCTCTTTGTTTTAGTGACATTCAATTAGTCCTCTTATATTTTTTTTGTATTAATGCTTGGGATCAGGCTGATTCTTCCAGTGCTATGCCCCAATTTATTGGTCTGTGATGTGATAGAGAAAAGGCTTGCAAGCACTTTCGTGCAACTTCCTTCAACTGCTCAAATATCCATCTTTCTTTGAGCATTTTTCATAAGTTTCATTTTTCTAATGATAAATTAAAATGCAGCAACTTCATGTTTAAAACTGTTAGGTCTTGGTGTCTCACCTCATATAGCTTGCTATGATCTCTCTTGTTCTTCATACAAATTTTATAGAAGGAAAGAACTTTCTAATGCGGTGGCCTAAAAGGACATTTAACTTTTCCAGCTAGTAGTTTCATAATTGTTTTTGCTGTAAATTTTTTTTCTCTCTACACTATTGAGTAATTATTAACCTTTTTTTGGTAACAGGATCATGAAATCAGTAGATGATGTTCTTCAACTTTCCAAGATATTTGGCCTTCCAGTTTGTGAACCTGGTCTAGTTCTTGTTGGATTTGTTTTTTCTGTTGTATGGCAGTTACTTAATGCCTCATTAGATGATGAGGGGTTGCTGGAACTTACTCCAGAAAAGAAATCTATATGGTTGACTGTATCTCAGGACATGGAGATAGACACTCCTGATAGCTTTCTTGAGAAGAGAACTGAGAACCAGGAGAGGCTTTGCAAAGTAAATACTACTATGGCTATAGAGATAATTGGAGAGTTCCTACAGGACAAAGTAACTTCTAGGATTCTTTACTTGGCACGTCGAAACATGTAAGAAGTTATATTTTGTTCATTTGCTTCTTTTTGTTCATGCATCATGGTCCTAGTCATGCCCCTTTTAATAAGAGAGAAGTGAAAAATTAGTTGCTCACAGAGCTTTGGAACAAATGCTAATTAGAATTTTAAATTAAGTTGAATTAGATTTTGCTGAAGCTGACACATGTACCACACTACACTTCTTTAGGCCGCTACATTGGGGAAGTTTCATTCAGCGACTAAGATTGCTTGCAGTAAAGTCAGTAGCACTGCAAAATTCAAAACATATAACTTCTGAAGTACTTCTGCAATTGACATCTGATACACGTAGAGTTTTGTCAAGAAAATGCAAAACTATATCACAACAAGAGTTTCATGCAGTCATAAGTTCTGGATCTCTAATGTCTTCTACTGGTCAATTTCATGGTGCTACTCGTTCTGCTCTTTGGCTCCCTATTGATCTGTTTCTTGAAGATGCAATGGATGGTTCACAGGTGGCAGCAACTAGTGCTGCTGATGTTCTAACTGGTATAATCAATTTTTATTCTATGATGCTTTATACATCTCTTTATTTGAAGAAAAATGGAGCCTAGTTCTAATCATGTTAATGAGGATGGGATCAAATCAATCTTGCAGGTTTAGTAAAGGCTCTGCAAGCAGTTAATGGCACCACATGGTGTGATGCATTTCTGGGCCTATGGATTGCAGCTTTACGACTCGTTCAAAGGGTAGAAATTCATTCACAGTTGAACAATTATTAACTGGGATAACTATCCTTTCCTCGTTTTTCCCCTTATCAGCAGAAAATTCATCTTGCATCTGTTGGTCAGAGTTTGCCATTTAGTATGGAGTCCCAGGCATTTTCTTGTATGCTGTCTTCTGTGCTGTGAGTGTGTGCATGCATGTGGCATGTTTTTTTTTTTTTTTCAATTTTTATTTTTTAAAGCAACTGTGAGTTTGGTTCTGTGTTAAAATTGTGTGCAGGTTTGATGGAACTTACCATAATTTGTTCTTGGAACATAGGGAAAATTCTAGGACAAAAGAATAATAGGATAAGTCATAGTGCTCGTTCATTACTAGAAGTCTAGAACTAGAAGAAAAAGTGTTGAGAGATGACAAGTTGACCGGGTTAGTTCAGAAGTTTTCCAAAAGGGATGGTCTGATGAGTTTGGTTTTTAGTTGTTGGGTTACTCATTTTTAAAAGGCGTTTGAAGTTTGATCTTAAAAGGTCATTTATGTTCTATTTCGAGAGATTTACCATGATTGCCTTTTTCTTTTTCTTTTGGGTTTCTTAGGAAAGGGACTCTAGTGAGGGTCCTGTGCCTCGTCTTGACACCTGCTTCTGCATGTTGTTGTCTATTACAACACTTGCAGTAGCAAATATTATTGAAGAAGAGGAAAGTGTGCTGCCTGATGAAAATAAAAGTGACCCAACTAATCAAGCGAAAGAGTTGCAAGCAACAGGAATGTGTCGCAAGAATTTAGTTTCCAGCTTGCAGATGTTGGGTGATTATGATGGCCTGTTGACTCCACCTCAATCTGTCCGTTCAGTAGCAAACCAGGCTGCTGCAAAAGCAATCATGTTCATTTCAGGTCTTAAAGTTGTTAATGATTCTGAATGCATCAGCATGAATGACATGCCCATGAACTGCTGTAAGTACTGGTTTTCCTGGGCATCCCACTTCAACACATTAAGCTTCCTAATATCTGGAGTATGTAGCACTCTAGGAACTTGTTCAACAGTTCAAGAGAAATCATAGTCTATTGAATTGTTGATTATCTCAAATTTCCGAAAACTTACCCTTAAAAATAGAGGCCACCTTCCCATGAGAGTTAATGATGCCAATTGAAATTTGACAGTATGATTGTTTATCAGGCTGCTTTATGTTGATTGAGTTATTTTGAATAAGGACTACTAGTTAGGTAGGTTTTTATTTTTTAGTACATTTGGGAGAACAGGGAGTGGGGGTGACTTGAATCTTGGATTCTCCCTATACTACTGTCAACCCGTTTTTTTTTTTTTCACTATATTAGTTTTGTCAACATAATTATGTATCTCTTCGCTCTCTGCCCCTCTTCCCACCCTCTAGTTTGGTATGGAATTTTTTCCCTGTCAACAATTTCCTTCCAAATTCA